GTTGTAGCTAATAAACGCAACAGAACTGTATTTGCATTGTCTCTTGGAGTTCTTTGGGCTGAACCTGACAAAAGGATGCTTATGAAACAAGGCAGAACAAATCAGTACCTGGACCATCAAAGGCATTCTCAATTCCATCATTGTGATCCCCGTGGAAGAATGTCAGGCGAATATCTGCAGGTTCTTCTACTGCTTCCCAAAAAATCAAGGAAGAGACGTTGCTCCAGAGCTCAAAAGCCACTTTCACTGCCAGGCGGACCTGCTGCTGGGGCAGATACCAAGGCCAGTTGATTAGCCGGTAAGTCAAGTGTCGTTTGTACCACTTGCCACCTACAAGGATATGGTGGGAGGAGAAATTAGTGGAGGGAAGATCAGAAAAAAAATCCTGAATCAGACATAAGATGATTAAGTCCAGCACCCTGTTCCTTTAAAGGTACATCAATAATAACAACAGCAGCTTCCAACCAGATGTTTTAAAGAAGTACACAAGCATCAGCTTGCTCACCAGAGTTAGAGGAGGGCAGAAATTTAAGATAGAAAGTGCAATTGAAATTCATTCTCCCACAACAGTAACGTGTGTGTGTGTGTGTGTGTGTGTGTGTGTATTGATTCTGAAAACCTGTGATGTTCTGCAGGAAACCACTGAGTGAAATTCAAGTGAAAATGAAAAATGTTATTAATTAGAACCCACATCCATTTACAAAGAAGATGAAGTCACAAGGGACTAAGTGCATGAATTATGCTTGTGGTCTTATTCAAGCTAAATATGGTGTTCATATAGTCAGGAACACCAAAATCCAAACTCTGTCTCCCAAACCACAATTTCCTCACAAAATTCCTACCACCCCAGCCCCCAACAGCCAAAGAAATTTCTTCCATAACATCAGTAACCCTTCCTTCTCTTTAGCAGGACCCACACCACCATTTCTGCCACATATGACACAGTCCAAATGTCAGGCTGAGATGGGCTTGGTAACTTCCCCCTCCAATCCTCACTGAGACATGCTAATATTCATGAATTATCACTGAGTCAGCAGAGCAGTTAATATCACCTATTCCCAGTAAAAGCCCTGAATATCCCACTCCTAAGGAAGTGTGAAGTCATCAATATACTGATTCTGAATTAATTTTTCAAATTGAATCTTGAACCTGTATAAAGTCTGCTTTGAATTAACTTCTGGCAATTTGATGGACATACCCATGTAGTTTTCTTGGCAGACATATAGAAGTGTTTTGCCATTGTTTTCTTCTGGAGTGTTTTTTCCCCCCAATCCCAATCTAATTTATGGCCCAGATCCAAATCTAGTTAGCTGACAAGGTCAGCCAGACACTGCCATTTGCTGAGACTTACTCAATATAACTTCATGATATTGATCTCAGAGGTACCCAGGACAGATTACTTCAGTGTACTTTAAGATGGGTGGACTTCAATTCCCAGAATTCCCCCCCCCAGCAAGCTTGGTGGGGGGGTTTTGGGGGTGGAG